TTCTGGGAAATCATATCAGTCTAATAACTAACTCCTGGCCCTGAAGATTACATGCTAGAACCTGCCATCTTCCCGACGAAGGAAGGTCATTGGTTTACAAAGAGTGAACAGACTTTCAACTCTAGATCAGAGGCATTGGTGGGAAATTCACTGAAAGCAAGTATTTTCACTTTCCGTTTGTTTCAAAAGTCATCTCATACCTCTGGACTGAGCTCGAACTGATTCATCTTCAAAGCCTTTGCTAACTCCAATATCCTATGGAACAACTCCAAGATGACAGGTATAAACCAGATGGTTATTTCTATATTATCAAACAGACTTATTTTCTTTTTAGTGATAATTAGGATTAAACAGTAAAGTAGGGGTGAGCTGTAGAAGTCTTAAATCTGGGGATTCTGATCACTCTGAGTCAGATTTCAGAAAGCATGTTTTCCTGAGTGTAAATTATTGACAACGTCTGCAGGTTATTACTTGTTTTCTATACTGAAGGGATATCTGTTGAGAATCAATTATAATAGAAGAAAAATTTACTCATCTTATAGCTTCTCAGATAATTATAAGAGCCTCGATTCTAGAATTGAGGTCTCTGTTGTGTTTTTAGTGCAGAGGCTTGCCTCTTCCTGGGTCATGACACCAGGAGTGAGCCTCTGCCCAAAGACACAGACAATGGGGGCAGCAAGGCTCAGATCTGTCAGCTTTTCTACTTTTGAGGGTCCCAGTTGTCTGGATAAGGGACAGAGCTGGGATTATGAGATCACATGTCTTCAAATTGCTGGGAATTCCTAGAAGAGTCCTAGCTCGCTGTTCTTTTCCATCCATAGCTTTTCACTCTCTTCCTATTCATGTAAAATGCCTTCCTTTTAAACTCAAATTTTATTAATCCCATTTTCCTTTAGGACCCAAGTTATATCTGCTTTTGCTTTCATTTCCAGATGGACCTGCACGAAGACACTGCTGAAAAAATTTACAGAATGTGCTAGAATGGGAAAAGTATGTTAGGGCAATGATTCATGTCTCATATCTGACACTGATTATGAGGCTCCCTGGAACCTCCTCAGCTCCCACATGCACGCCGGGTGCTGCGAGGTTGTTGGTGGGAGCACTTGTAGTGAACCAGCCCCTGGGACCACAGGGCACAGGGTTAGGAGGGTGTTGTGTATGTATTTGTTTGAGTGTGGACCTCCTAAAAAAATGAAGGGAAATTCTTTAGGAAAAATACCATTCAATTATGAATTCTTTTTTTTTAAGATTTTATTTATTTGAGAGATAGAGACACAGCATGAGTAGGGGAGAGGAGGCAGAGGGAGAGGGAGAAGCAGACTCCCTGCAGAGCAGGAAGCCCGATGTGGGGGCTCGATCCCAGGACCCTGGGGTCATGACCTGAGCTGAAGGCAGATGCTTAATTGACTGAGCAACCCGGGTGCCCCTCAAATGTGAATTCTTATACCTATTCTACAAAATTCTATCTGATCTTTTGTGCAACCATATTGAAATAACAGTTGGAGTCACTCATTCTGTTCATGCTATCCTAGTGGCTAGAGCTTAAGCTGAGAGAGAAAGAGGCTGAGCCCTGATGACAGCTCTGCAGGCACCTGCTTCCCACTTCCTGCAGCTCACTTCAGGTTATACCTCAGCAAGAGTGTGCACAAATTTCCCAGCAGCGGATTGCGTAATTACATATCTTCACGGATAGCTTGCATACATTTTCTCTCTACCACATGCTTTTGGAATAGTATTTTAATAGAAATAATGTGGAGTCAAGAAGCCCCACACCAGTATTGGGTGTGATTCCAAGCAACACGTGTGAAGTGTGTTTGGAGTCTTTATTATGTGTGTCCCTTTGACTGGGAAGGTTTCTCCCTTGCCCAGCGTCACAGCCCAACCTGAATGGAATTAAACTGGAGCAATTGAAAGTAATCAAACCAATTGCATTCGATTTCATCCGCAGTTTCTAGGTAGTGCTGGCTACTGGGACCCAGGACAGTAGTGCTTTCTCTGCCCCGGAGGGACGACGGGAGAACCTACATTTGGTTCATATAACATTTAATTAGGAACAGACCTTTTCTCCTACACATCTCAGGTGGACCACATCCCCAGCCACATCTGAGACATCTCAGCACCACGCTGCTCCACCTGGATCCCGCTGAGAACTCCCGGCGTGGTCAGGTGCACGCATGGGGTGGGTGCTTTTCTCCCGGGAACTGCTGCCAGCTTTGCTTGATACCATCGCAGTCCGATCCAGCAACTTCCAGTTGCTTCTGTTTTCCCAGTTTTGTTTCTGGTGGACTTTCTTCAACCACGTGAGGTATGATTCCTTAGGGTCCTGACTGGTTTAAAATCCGTCCTTCCCCACCCCAGTGTGGCTTGGGCTCTGCACGAGAATGAGGCCTGAGGCCTGGCCTCCCCGTCTCCCTCCTTCTGTCCTCTGTATCCAAATGCCTGTGCAGGGCTGGGGTCCAGCTGCAGTCCTATGTCTCTGGCAGGTCTTGCTATGCCGGCTGTCATTGGTGATGTGGGGCTGTTGACTTCTGTTTGGTTGGCACAGAGGCTCCTCTGGCCCTGGGGTTCTTGGAGTGGGGGCGGACCTCTCAAGTTCCCCTCCCTCTGCCTGGCCTTCACCCTCAGAGGGGCTGTCACAACTTTTACCCAATCATGGACGGCTGTGGGAACCTTTGGGGTCCCTCTCAGCAGCCTGCACCACTGTGGGACACTGGGTGACAGGCTGAGCCACCATCTCAGAGTTTTCCAGATGCCTCTGCCTCCGGGTGGAGCGTGGATTCCCTGCCCACTGGATGGGTTCAGGTGATGAGGTGAAAGCCCCCTTTCCCTTATGGCAGGGGGAAGGGGTATAAATCGGGAAGACTGCTTCCTCAATACACCTCTGAATTAATGATGCATGTAGTAAAAAAATGTCAGGTTCCCTCAAAATTGAAGTACGAGTGTTTCCTTCTCATTATTTTTAATTTTATTGCATACGATTTTCAGTTATAAGGTAAGAAAGTATTTCAAAGTGAAAATGAGGGCATAAGCCATTGGACATTGTGTCAGCGCCCCCCGCCCCCAGCTTTCTGAGAGAGAAGATAGGACAGGAAAGTAGTATCCTGGCCCTTGGTACTCATTCACATTACTGTATAGAGATTTTGCTTATCGTGAGCCTCAATTTTTTTTCTTTTCTGTAAAACGGAAGTAGTTGTCTCACCGATTTCTTACCCTTCAGAGGCTTTTGCAATGGTTTAATACAGTGGTGTTTTAACCACCTCGCCAGATTGTCTCTGGACAGTGCCCAGTGTCCATTGGGGAGCACACTGATCCCCAAGGGGGACCACGGGAGGAATGAATGACTTGAAGCTGACTCGCTGCAAGCCGTCCTGGAGCTCAGTGTGCCTCAGGAAGACTAGGGCTTTGCCCTGTCCTTTAGGGCATAATGAGTTAGGGCAGCCACGGCCCCCGCAGCAGCTTCCCGCCTGGTTGTGTTGAGTGGTGCCAATAAAAGTGCTCCTCTGTTGTATCGAAGGAGGAACACATATTGGGCTAAATGATAAGAACATGAAATCTGTGTGGATGGAAGGTTCGTAATGCACAATTTTGGGGCAGTGCAGGACACGTCATTTGAAAGAGGGTGTATCAGGTCCCGGAGTGGGAAGGCCAGGCAGGCCTGGGCCCCTCTGACCTGCGAAGACACAAGCACGGTCAGAGCGAGGACCGTGCAGAATGTTTATTTCTTGAGTTGGCAACACAGGTGTGCTCGGGGTGGGGGTTGAGGGCGCGCAGGGAGCAGGGCCGAGGCTGAGGCCACATCCCCAGTGGCTTGGCCTGGATGAAAGGCCCTGGAGGAGCGGGACAGATCCTTTGGGAAACTCCCCCTTGGAGTGTCCTTGCAATGCAGACAGACAGGGTTTAGGCAGGAAACAAGGAGGAAGGACATACAATAAGGGGCTGGGGCATTTTGCAGGGGGCTCTCTACACTGTGGGGCCTGCTAGCCGGGGCCTGGGCCCGTGGGAATAAAGTAAGTGTCTGTGAATCCCTCGTGTGGCCCCAGCCTGCCTTCCTCGGTTGCTTTGCTTCTTGGGGAGGAAATGTTGGAGGAGGTGATACAAATTGTTTACTCTTCCTTTATTAGGATCCAGAAAGTGTGCTCTGAGTAGGTAGAAAGCAGGAATGAGAAAACCAAAGTGGAGCCACCTGGGAAGAAAGGAAGGAAGGAAAGACTTCGGTATTTTTTTTTTTTTTTTACCAAGATGAACAATTTACTCCAGAAATAATTAACAGATCAGTGCTTTTCACAAGTACTTATTAATGAATTCAGTGGGATCCAAGAATATATTACATCTCTAAAATATAATAAGTTCCAAAAAAAACCCATCAGAAATGAAAGTGTTCTTACAAATCGCAAAGAAACATTGGACTTCTGTTCCTGCTTAGGATGTAGAAGTAGGCAAGAGTGTTGTTCTCACCCTAACAAGAGCAAGCCTGGTAGTCTTAAAAATATCCTATTTTTTTCTTGCCCTTCAGGGAGCAGGTTTTTTTTTTTTTTTTTCAGGGAGCAGGTTTTATTTCTAGCACCTATGAGGATGCGTATTTCCAAGGATGCTCCTATGCCCACCGTTCCAGTGAGGACAGAAGACCTTTGTCCTTTGCCAGCAGGTGGAACCGTAAGAACCTCCTATAAGAAAAGGGGCGACCAAAGTAAGCAGGACCCCAAATATTTTTCTTTTCGGGGGGAAAAGTCTAGTCATCAGTGAAGATGCACAGAATTGGTGGCATCAGCAACACGTGGGCACCGCTTACAGCGTTTTCAGAAGATTCGTCTCTCCCCTCATTTGTCATATGCCCGTCTTGCTCATTCAGTGAAAGATTCTATCCCCATAAAAGGAAAAAAAGAAAGGCCCGAGGGTTTAAAATAAAATCGACACACATTATATACTACTTTCTGCAGCTTCTTGAGGAACGCATCCCTTTAGCAAGTATGATCTACGTTATTGTGAGGTTACCTGGGTGGTTAGGGCCGGAGGGTGCTCACCGTGTCCTCACACTCCTGGGCTGCCCTGGGCTGCAAGGATTCCTCGTGCCCGAATATCTCCCCGATAGTAAGCAATCTCTCAGACTCGGGGGGGACCCTGTGCCGGAGGTAGTGGGCATTTCTGACCTTCGCAAACAGCTCTGAGAAGGTAGGTGTTGCGGACTCGCCTTTCCAATTTCCTGCACATTCCCTGGGGTTCAGGGGGCTTTGTCTCCCTGCCTGGGGGTCTGGCTTTAGGCTGGCATCTTCCGATCTGGCCTCATCAACGTGTGCTCTTCCACTCTCACCAGCTGGGCTGGAACCAGGGCCTTGATCTACGGTGTGGGTGGAGACATCCCCATCCTGACACAGAGTAGAGATGCCCTTGTTGGACTCTTTGCCCTTCGGGGGCCTTAGGCAGTCTTTCTCTCGGGCTTGTGTCTTCTCGGCTGTGAAGTGGGAAGCCTTGTAGTTTGGAGGTAGTGACTGTTCTTTGCTTTTCACGGAGTCCCTTAGGCCAGCTTGATGGAAAGGAGGCACCTGCGTCTTGGATTTATATATCTCTTGGGTCGTGTTGGTGGCCAGTGCTCTGGGGAAAGAGGTAAAAAGAAGAAAGATCTATGAAAGCCAGCAACAAGGCCCATATTTGGAATTTCCCAGTTGTTAGGTCATGTTTGGTGTGGAATTAATTGGCTGAGGTGATGAAGTGGCTGAGAAGGGGGTGGTCACGCTATGGGGAAGTGCTTCATTGCTTAAGGAGGAAAGGCAGCATTTTCTTAGGGAGAGGATGATTCAGGGAGGTGAGGTGGGAAGGAAGATTCAGTAGCATCCCCATGAGGGTAGTAAGCATTTTCTCACCTAATTTTATTAGCCTGTGGAACTCTGTGCTTCTGCCTTCCTGGTGGTGAGGGCAAAAGGACATCTTCTGGTCTCTTCTGAATTTCATTCCCCAAATAAGAGGAGAGCTTTTTCTTGATAATATCTGCTTTGAGTCAATAAAAAGTGTTACCGGTTGAATTCTGTTTTCCCCAAATGTCATAGGTTGACGTCCTAACCCCACAGCACCTCAGAACTTGACCTTATTTGGAGATAGGGCCTTTAAGGAGATAGGCCAGTTAAGAGGAGGTCATTAGGGGGAGCCCTAATCCATGGCTGGTGTCCTTATAACCAGGGGGAATTTGGACACAGAGACACAGATAGAGGGAGGACAGCGGTGAAGGGATGTAGGGGGAAGACAGCCACTGGCACTCCAAGGAGAGAGGCCTGAGAGTAGTCCAGTCCTTCCCTCAGAGCCTCAGAGTAAATCAGTCCCCCAGACACCTCGATCTTGGACTTGGAGCCTCCAGAACCATGAGGCAATAAATAAGACAGCCAGTTAGTGGTTCTCTCTGACGGAAACCCTAAAAACTAATCTAGTAAGAGAAGAACAGAAAGGATGCCGGACTGGAAACTGGTTCTCTGAGCAGAGAACCAACGTACGAACATTCTCAGACCGCATACACATAAGACGGATTTGGCAGGATGGGGGAAGACAGAAAAACTTACAGCAGCTCCCCAGTGTTGACCTAGAACATGTTAACAAGGATTTAGAAATACTGAGATTAGAGGTTGAAACTGGCTGGAGGCCTGTGGAGGTTTTGTTTGAATGTCTTACTTGGCAAGCATTGCGTTTTCAAGACAAAATAACTGGGTGTGGGCGATACCCAGAGATGGTGCCCTATTGTTTCATTCACCTCAATTATGTGACCTCCTACTCGCCTGACCCAGGAGTTGCAACTGCCAGGTACGATTAAGTGGGTTTTTCACTCTTTGAGTAAATGTTTCAACATCCTGTAGTCATGGCTGCTCTGGAGGACCCGGTTAGCCTTCAGGACACCTCAGGAGTTGGTGACTTGGGGTTGAAAGTCTTGCGCTGGTTTGGGAGCGAGTTCCCTGAATGTGCATGGGGTCAGCAGGCACCAGGCAGAGGGAATATGACCAGATAAGGGGACTGGAACTCACATTAAACTCCTAACACTGCTTCATCTGATCACTTCTTTGCGAGGTAGTCAAGACAAGAGACTGTCTTGCGTGAGCCCTTCTTCCCCTGTTGTTTCCTGGAGTGTGTGTGTGCGTGTGTGTGTGTGTGTGTGTGTGTGTCTTTTCCATGTAAGAACTTCATCTGTTTCCTTTAAGCTGAGAGATTTTAAGCTACTTCTCCCAGCCAGGCCATTCTTCTGCAGTTTGGCCCTGTTGAGTCAACAGGCTCAGAAATGAACATCTTTCCTGACACTACATCTGTCCTCTGTGTTCCCTTGTGGACACACGGCACCTGTATGTGTCCAGCTGTCCCACTCAATAAGGATAATTGAAAACCAGCTTTGTGCCAGGCAATAGACTCTGGGCCCTGGACATATAATTACTCGCAAAGCTCTGACAATTCTACTTTCCAAATATCTCAAAATACTTCTTCTCTTCACTCGGCCAATCCTCTAGTTTAGGTCTGAATTTGGGGATTCTCTTAAACCTTGCAGCCAGGGTGAACATGTCATCTCCCCGCCGCCAGACCCTGGAGGGTGAAAACTAAACTCCTTTGCAAGACCTATGGAACTCTCCATGAGCAGAGACACCGCCCATACGGCCTCGCCTCAACACCGTGCCTCACCTTCTCCTCACCCCTCACGGGCTATTTGGAGCAAGTTATGCTCATGCGGCGCCTTTGTACCTACTGTTCCCTCTGGCCTGGGTGTGTCCCATGTGTCCTCCAAGCAAACCGTGCTGCCCCCTGCCCCATTCTCCTCCAGGATTCTGCTTGCACACTGCTTCTTTTGGGAGATCTCACCTGAGGCCCTTTGACATAGGAATCTTCTTATGCTCCTGCCCTACTTTGGAAATAACTCTAATTTAGCAATTAGTATTTTCTTTTTTTTTTTTTAAAGATTTTATTTATTTATTCATGAGAGACACAGAAACAGAGGCAGAGGGAGAAGCAGGCTTCCTGTGGGGAGCCCGATGTGGGACTTGATCCTGGGACCCCGGGATCATGCCCTGAGCTAAAGGCAGACGCTCAACCACTGACCATCCCAGCAATTAGCATCTCTCATAATTTTTCACAAGCACAACTACCTTCCAATTTAAACGTGAGCATCTATAGGAAGCAGATCGTGTTTTTTTTTTTTTTTTTTTAAGAATCCTGCGTCTATCAGAGTGGCTGTAATACTGTTTTGTAAAGTTGTAAAGTCTGGTCCACAAAATACCTGTCCCATAATAATCTGCCTTAGTATCACCTCAGTTAAACATGTGGGTTTTTGAGCCTAATTCCCAACCTGAAGATCTAAATCTTTACAGATGAGGACTGGGAATATGAATTTTAGATAATCCACCAACTGGCATAAAGCTGAATCTCAGTAACAATTTTGGTAAATGAATCATGGAAAAATACTGCCTAGTGCAATGCCTGATAAATACTGAAATGTAATACATATTATTTCATCCCCTTTCCCTTATTCGCCCCCCCTTACCTTCATTGTACTGTCAAGAAGCCTGAGGCTCAGAAGGAATATGACTTTCTAAAGGATAGAGAGACGGAGGCCCCTGAATCAGTTTTCTGCCTCCTGGTCCAGACTTTCCCATACCACCTGTCACAGAGGCAAACTCACTACTTAGCCAGGACACCAGCTACCTTGGGCCTGGCCTTCTGCATACCTCCCCTAACCCTCTCCTTGAAAGTAGGTATATGGTCTTCAGTGTCCTTTTGAGAATGGAAGTGGGATTTAATTAGATGGCTTTTAAGATTCTTTTCCAGTCTATGAGCACTCATTGGAATTTGTTTTAACCATTTTTGCAGACAGGGAAATAGAAAGCAGAGAAGTTCAGCTACTTGCTCAGAATCCTCCTTCAGACCCAAAGCTGTGGGAAATAATTCCCAGGCCAGCTGTTTGGACATTACTCTTTGTTCTTGCACCCATATATTAGCTGTGTAGACCTAAACAGGTTTACATTGAATCACGACACCTGGCTTTCCTCTGGAACATGCTCTAGCATTTTCAGAGCTTCTGAGTCCTGATACCTGCCTTTAGTGAGAAGGGCCTATAGTTTCCCAGAGCTGGGGGTGGGGGGTGGGGGTCCTTTCTGTGCTGAATTTTGATGTAAAGCAAAATCTAATTATTTTAATGATGGATGTAGTTTCTATAAATCGTACAACTAGTTTGCGGTTTTCTTTCTTTTTTAAAAAAAATATTTTTAAAATTTAAATTCAATTTGCCAACATATAACACCCAGTGCTAGTTTGCAGTTGTCAACAAAGCAGTAGAAGTTTTAATCCTGTAACCATCTTTTATTGATTGATTGACCTATTGATTGATTAAATGATCAGAGTAAACATTTACCTAACACTTATTGTGTGTTTAGGTACTGTTCCAAGTGCCTAAATCCTCAACTAACTCCATGAAGTGGTGAACATCATTTCTATTTAACTTGGAGGCAAGTGGGGCACAGACTGGTCTAGTGAGCCCCCAAGGCCTCACCACTAGTAAATGAGAACCAGGATTTCAAAACTGACAGTCTGGGTCCAGATTCTGTGTTCTTAGCCATCATATTTTAATGGGATCATCAAGTAGAGGAGTTTTCTTTCTCAATTATTTTTGACTAGTGTAAGCAGCTCTGGAAGGTCCAAGATTCGGGACACCACCGTGTAGTCCTTTGTTCCATGATGATCAGTAGCTACTAACCAGAACCAGTTTTTTAGCTTACATTATTCTCATTATCACTACTTAACTACTTACTTATCTCCATGAATTGGATGGTCTTCTGAGTGATGTATACACTTGGAAAGGGTTATTTGGAGACAGGAGGTTTTATGGAAGAACATTATTATAAAGAATATGAGCACATGGCTTACAGGGAAAGAGGCCTCTTTGGGAAAACAGCAGAAATATTGGGCCTTTGCCTTCAGAGTCCAAGAAAACACAGTACTGATATACCACACAATTGCTTGTTTGAAATTTTCTGACCTACGCAAAATCTGTAGGCTCTAGTGTGAACACACATAGGAAGGTGATTGAGAAGTTCGTTTTGCACAGAAAGTAGGAAGGGCCTCAATCTCATTGGTGAGTGTTGAAAATGGCCAGATGCTCTGGCTCAGCCCCATCAGAGGGCAGCTGTCAGTATGAGGATATTGCTCTGTGGTTGTGCTAATCCTGAAGATCTTTTTTTTTTAACTTCCCTTTCTTAATGTGACATTCACATTAACAGTTGCTCAATCAATGCTGACCAAGCATAGAGATGAAACCAAATCAACCCAGATGTAGTGAAAGGAAAGCAGAATGGAAAATAATGTAAAAAGAAAACAAAGGTCTAAAGCAAGAGAAAACTCATTTGAAACACAGAAGTAACTGGAAGTCTGAGAAGTATTAGCTCAAGAAGCCTCACTGCTGAGCTGCTGGGGGAAGCTGTGTAACCCAGGGAGGAGGGTGATGGGAGGGCAGGCAGCCTCAAATCCAGGTAGGGTTAAGTTCTTGCTTCCTTGATATCCAGGTCTCTGAAAGAGCCCTTGTCCTGAGGCGGGGATGCCACTCTGGCCTCAGCCAGGTGATGGCTTGCTGCCCTGGCCTGCCTCTCTCTAATCCCGGAGGCCTCACCTTGCTGCAACCTCTGCAGTTCTTTCTGGAGCTGTCTCTGCTCCTGGGTCAGCAGTTTCATGTGGTACAGGCAGATGTGCTCTAATCTCTGCAGTCTTTGGCTGAGTCTGGCTTCTGCCCACCTGGTGTTCTTCCTCTCCAAATCAAAGTGCATATACAGAGGGCCCATGACCATGTGTCTCTCCATCCTCTTCATGGTCTACAGACAATAATACGAGAGTCTCTCACACACCATGACTAACCTGATAGAGCAAGATGGGAGGACTCTGACCTTTGGCTTTTAATCAGGTTTCAATATTTGAATCCTGTGTGTTTCTGAAACCACAGCTGCCCACTCAGATGAAGTCACACCATTGGGAAATTTTGCCCTGTTACTAATGAATTCCCAGGGTGACATAGAGAATTGAGGGTAAAATTGTTCTCCTGAGGCTTAGTGTCCTTCCAATAAAATGGCGATAGATGGTAGGTTCCCTATGAAGTCCCAATCAGATTGCCATAAAGATCAAGCATATGAACAACTCTTTGGGGGAAACAATAGAAACACTTCACTTATATAAGGCATTATTCACTTAATAAGAGAATCTCTTCCACTATTCCTTAGAGGTTTCCAAAAAGCCTGCACAAGGGTCTGGAGAGGATCTGGGACTTAGGACTGAGCCATTTTCTGGGACCCCTTTTGGTTCATTCATTCACAATGAATGGGTCCATGCAGCCTGTAGCCTACCAGGTCCTAGGTACTACACTAAGTGCTGAGAGTCGTGGTGACCAAGTCACCATTCCCACTCCCAAGGGGCTTTCAGATTTGTGACTATAGAGTCTAATAATACACACTAAATCTGAACAGTCAACATTTCAAACATGGGAAGGGTAGGACCCTACTGGTCACAAAACAAGGCAGGTGTCCCAAACCAGCAGTCTGGGCAGCACTAGTGACCCCAGTTGGGTTGGACATGCTCACCTATCTTCTCAGACCTCTGGTCCTTTCTACCCTTCTTGTACCTTGATGACCAAGCCCACACTGGCTTCCTCCTCCTGGGAAGGAGGTGCAGGACGCACCTTCCTCTTCTTTGAGTCCTTTGCAATATTATTTCAGAACATGCCCCCAGGATATAAATGGATTGCTATTGATGGAGCTTTGGTGATAATAACACAGGAAAATGCTCAGTGTTAAAAGGAAGGATTAGTTCAGGACCCAGAAAGACCTTTTAAGACAGCTTGCTTTATAGTCTAAAGGACAGGTGAGTAGCACTTACCTACAAACCCAGAGTTCTCACCATGAGAATGCTGCTTGTATCTTTTGCTATGTCAGGCTGAGTCTGGATTAATGAGCTTGTTTTTCTTCAGGAAATTTAGGAGTTTGGTGTTAGGGAGTGGGGAGGAAGAGGCTGTGGGGGAGAATGTTGAATACACTTGAAAGCTCTCTCCCATGCCACCTCCCCGGGGCAGGAATGCTAACTCCCTGGACACGGGCACCAATCCCAGATCTCTAAATAGCTCTGTGAGTTAAGGAAGCCTGCCAGTGTCCAGCAGTCCCCTAATGGGGCCCGTAGTGCTCCTTCTGGGCTGTGTCTATGGGAGCCAAGAATGAAAGCAAGCATTGTTTTACTGTGTTCTCATTCTCTCTCCTTCCCCACCCCCTTCTCTCTTTCTACCTCATTTGTCATAACCCACCCCTCCCCCTACCTACCATGCTCATTCTGACTTCTTAGAAATCAGGCCAGGCCCCAAAAGAATGGACCGTTCTTTGTTTTCTGGTTTTGGTGTTTTTTTTTTTTTTTTTTCCTGGAGGTGGGGTGGGGAGAGTGAGATTGTGCACATTTTGTGCAGGAGAGTAATCTTTTTTTTTTTAAATTGTGCGTTCTTGCACACCATACTGACTTTTCTCAGGCTTCTATCCATTTTGTGTACTTCAGAGCTTATTAAGATTTTCTGTTGTGACATCAGAATTAGGTACAATGAACCTTAAATCAACTTTTGTGATCAGAGTTTGGGCAACTGCTGTATACCAGTTGAACTATTGGTTATAGAGCAGAATATTAAGTGGGATCTTTACTGTTGCCTGGGGCTTCATCAGAAAACAGGAGGCACTCTTGTGCTACAGTCTAAAGAGACCTGCCAGCTGTATGGCCTATTAATCCCCCCAGGGATTACTGAGAAGAGCTAAACAGGCCCTATTACCCAGTCATCACCTAGCTAACAAGCTATTATAAGGAGATTACCAGGGAGAGGAAGAGGGAAGGCCATTATTTATTCTCTCAGTAGGAGGTAATTCCTTTTCCAGCCTTCCCACAGGTAATTCTCTCACCTCCAGTATTTAAATGACTAGGGTGGGGTTCCAAGAACACCATCTTAGAGAATGGAGTGCCTACACAGGCAGAGACTGGCAGCTCACTCCGCAGCTAGACTTGATGACCAACAGAACCATAGAAGAGTTCCCATTCCAGCCCTTTGCTGCCACCAGGACTCCTAATGGTGAGGGATTTCTTAGAAAAGCTGGTTACTCCATGTCATCTTGAGAGGTGAGAAGGGAGGCTTGCAGAAATAATCCAAGGCTGGAGGATAGGAATGAGCCTTACTGGTGAGTGCAAGGGAATGGTGACCAACCCATCCTAGTTCCCTCTTGGCCCTTTGAGAGTGCCAAACAGGACCTGAGCAGTTTCCTGGCCCCATGTGAAGGAGCAGAGGGGTTATATAAGGAAGCAGAAACCATGGAAGACTTGAGGTCAAATAAGGTAATAACTTCACCAGAGTGAGCATTGAACCTCAGGTGGGGCCAGAGGGAGTAGGGACAGAGAGATCTGACTGAAGGAGAACTTCCTCATGAAAACACCTTGTAAGAGCAGAGGACAGCAGAAAACATAGAACATCACTGGTCAGGACAAGATTACTAATGGTCATGCAAGCAACAGTTATATAGGAAGAGCTGTGCCTCTTCTGTTTCCCTTGGATCCCACAACCTCAGAAGGATTAGATACGGAGAAGACGGGGAAGGGATTAGATATTGAGGAGACAGAGAGGGGGATTAGATATTAAGAAGACAGGAGAAGTATACAAAACAAGACCACATTCCCCTTTCCACCCCAAGGTGTTGGAGAAGGAAGAATGATAAAGCAGTTAGTTCATCCCCCTCCTTCTCCAAGTCCTTTGGAGTCTGGTGGGGGAAGGATTTAAATTGTATGTGAGATTGGAACTTCTAAGTGGACTGGCCTTTTTATGACCAGAATGGCCAGGAATGTGGGGAATCTGCCCACAATATCACTAAAAGACAAGAAAGGAAAACCAGCAAAGATAATGATTGGAAATGTAAAATTGTCATTCTTACATTGCATCCTGAGAGAAAGGGGAGGTTTCAACTGCTCGTTAAAGTGGTTATGCTTAAAATAAATTTTATAGAATGGATTTTATTAGTTTGCACTCTGCACTTTCCTGTCTCTCTTTTTTATCTGGAGGGAGCATCCTTCTGTAGTCAAAGACAACTGAGATCAAATAATTCTGTCATTTAATAGAGTATATGGCTTTATTCATTAATTTGTCAAAGCCCCTGGTTCCTCATCTGTAAAAAGGGTTCAGAGTATCTTCAGCATAGGACTTCTAACAGAATTGAATGAAAGGATAAATGAAAAGTGTTTATGCATAGTAGGTGCACAATAAAAGTTAGTTCCTGGTTTCTAGCAAAGGAATAGGAACTAGATTTACTCTTTTACGTGAAACAATTTAAAAATCAGACACAAAATTTATGAAATGATTTTTTTTGTTGTTCCATTGGACATCAGGTAGAGAGGATGGCAGTCTCTGAAAGAGCAGAAACAAACCAGGCGATCCCTATTATTGCCCCAGCTTACTGCCTGGGAAGAGGTTTCAGGCCACAGGGCAGGGAAAAGCAGCAAGGCATGGATTCCTGAGTCGAGGAGACAGAGGTAGAAGTCCAGAAAAACAAGGCAGCTAGCATCAGCCGGGCAGAGTACCAGATTCAAGAAGCTCAATGAGTCCTAAGCAAAACAAACATATGTAAAATGACTCTGAGGGATATAAAGTCTAACTGCTAAAAAAAAAAAAAAGAAAAAAAAAAGTAACAAAGAAATAAAGAGGGCAGCCTGGGTGGCTCAGCGGTTTGGCGCCTGCCTTCGGCCCAGGGTGTGATCCTGGAAACCCAGGATCGAGTCTCACATTGGGCTCCCTGTGTGGAGCCTGCTTCTCCTTCTGCCTGTGTCTGTGCCTCTCTCTCTCTCTGTGTCTCTCTCATGAATAAATAAATAAAATCTTTAAACAACAACAACAACAACAACAAAAAAAACAAACAAATAAAGACAGCAATTGTCAATATCATAAATAAGAGAGGGACATCACTACAGATTCTGCAGACAGTAAAAAGCTAATAAGAGAATATTGTAAATAAGTTTACACCAACAATTTGGCAAATTCGATGAAAAAGACAAATTCCTTGAAAGAAATAAAATGCCAGTCCTTTATTTTATTTTTCTAAAAAGCAAATATTTATTTTTTTATTTTTTAATAATAAATATATTTTTATAGGTGTTCAATTTGCCATCATACAGAATAACACCCAGTGCTCATCCCATCAAGTGCCCCCCTCAGTGCCCATCACCCATTGACCCCCACCCCCCGCCCTCCTCCCCTTCCACCACCCCTAGTTCGTTTCCCAGACTTAGGAGTCTTCATGTTCTGTCTCCCTTTCTGATATTTCCTACCCTTTTCTTCTCCCTTCCCTTCTATTCCCTTTCACTATTATTTATATTTCCCAAATGAATGAGACCATATAATGCTTGTCCTTCTCCGATTGACTTATTTCACTCAGCATAATACCTTCCAGTTCCATTCACATCGAAGCAAATGGTGGGTATTTGTCGTTTCTAATGGCTGAGGAATATTCCATTGTATACACAGACCACAGCTTCTTTATCCATCATCTTTCGATGGACACCGAGGCTCCTTCCACAGTTTGGCTATTGTGGACATGGCTGCTAGAAACATCGGGGTGCAGGTGTCCCGGCGTTTCATTGCATCTGAATCTTTGGGGTAAATCCCCAGCAGTGCAATTGCTGGGTCGTAGGGCAGGTCTATTTTTAACTCTTTGAGGAACTTCCACACAGTTTTCCAGAGTGGCTGCACCAGTTCACATTCCCAGCAACAGTGCAGGAGGGTTCCCTTTTCTCCACATCCTCTCCA